TTAGCCAATCTTCCTTGATTTTTTTTTAAATGTAAGTATTTCTTTTCTTCTTTGTCCATGGTATTCTGATAATTGTTCCATAGCATTTCAGAGCACACACAGACACGTGCACATGCACACACCCACCCAGCCACCCACATGCATACACCAACACACACACACACACACACACACACACACATGAACACACACACCTATATATATATATATATATATATATATATATATATATATATATATATATATATATATATATATATATAAATGTTTATATAAGTTTAATGTTTATAGTTTCTTGAATAATAATTATTTTTCTTTAATGTTCCACAGGGTCCATCATTGCTGGCTTTACCTGAAACACACTTTTCTCTAAAGTGAGTACTGAATTGAAATGTTGCTCTAGCATTCTTAGTAATACTAAAATTAATTCACTGAACTATGACTAAGAAGCTTAACAGAGATGGAAAAAGGGGGGGGGGGGGGGGGGGGGGGAACAGGAAGTCTGATGTTTTAGCAGCAGCTTTTATCGATAGACATCACAAAAACAAGGGGGGAGAGTATCCCTTTTTTCCCCACCCCACTCCCCTTCGCTGTCACAGTTCAGTGGATTAATATCTTGATACTAGTTTTACTGCAGTCACTCCTGTTTTCCTCACTTGAATAATAATACAGGCATTATAGCAATCACTGGAAACAGAAGAGTGAAAATTTAGAGTTCTGAAAAACATAGGAGAATGACAGATTTGTTGAGCCACGCCAGCTCCAGAAATAAGGCCTTACATCTCAAACGGGAATTCCCGTTTCTGTGAGGCTGGTGTGGCCGGTCGGTGGTAACAATTGTTAACGAGTAAACACAGGTTTAACTACAGTTTGATTAATTTGCAACATGAATTATTAAATAAATTATTATTTTTGAAGATAGAAAAATGGGCTATTAGAAAACATTTATCTTCAAAATAATAATTCATTCAATAACACATGTTTCAAGTTAATTAAACTGTAGTTTAATTTGTGTATAAGTCTTCTCGTTAACAATTGTTACCACTGACTGGCCACGCCAGTCTGACAAAAACATGAATTCCAGTTTGAGCTGTATGGCATTATATCTTGAGCTGGCTGTAGTTGAGCATAGTGGAAAAATCCAGTATATTTCTGAGAATGTTCTGGTGCCTGATTTCTAGAGAGGCAGAGGGAGACAGAAAGAGAAGATACTGGAAAGTTTGAAATTATGGCATGAAAGATCATCTGTGTTAGAATTGATTAAAAGTACATAAGACAAGAATCCAGGCAAGAGTATGTGTCTAATTTTATACTACGAAAATGCCACTGGAACTATGTCGGCCACGCCCTTAGAATGGATAAATCAAGACTTCCTTACCAAGCCCTCATTTGGACACCACAGGAGAAAAGATCTCGTTGAAGACCAAGGGAAACCCTACGTAGAACTATCATCAGGGAAGGCTCGCTCATGGGCCACTCAAACATCCAAGACCTACAACAGATTGCAGCGAACCGCCATGCATGGAGAGTCATGACCTCTGCCCTATGTGCCGCACTCGACACAAGAGGAAAGACTAACTAACTAACATAAGACAAGATTGTGAATAGACATGAAAAACATGCCATGGACTTAAAGACTAAGAATTGCTAGAAGCAACTAGATTCTGTGGCTAAGCGTTGCTAACGTGGTTCATAATGCTAAGATACTCCTGCATGTCCCAGACAGTATGTCCATGTGAGTCCTTGTAGTGTTGACATGCTGATGCTTGGTATCCACTGACTGACTGACTGACTGACTTTCTACCCCACCAGGACATCACACAAGCGATAATTACCCGATGACACAATGTGCCACCATGTGGATGAGGATCACCGTGGAGAGGTTCCAGAAACCGCGTTCAGCCATTAGGCCATATTTATGGCCTGGCTATATTGCAGCCCCCGACAAGAGCCAGGGTAGGGCTTCAAATAACTAAAAATGTCATCCTAATAAGGACAATGAATAGTGCTTAAGTGCACTATCCACTAATGACACATTTGTCCCTATTGAACCTTCTTCAGTATCGACTAAGAATAAGACTATAGTTTCTAGAGTATCTGCTAATATACAAGGTCTGACAATTAAGTTATAAGACTAATTCCATAAAAATTAAAATAATCAACAGTTGAAGATATAACCTGTATTTTATTCAAAGTAAGCCTATTGTGCATTGATACATTGAGTGGAACTATCTAACAAACACTGTAACGACCTTGTAGTTCTTCTGTTGTTATGGCTCTTAAAGTTGATGTTACGGCCCTTTAGATGTCATCAGTATCATTAAAGAAGCGTCCTTTCAATGGTGACTTTAATTTTGGGAATATAAAATAATCACAGGAAGACAAATCTTGGGAATAGGGTGGATGATTGAGAACACACTTGTTTTGGAGCCAAAAGTTTCTGTACAGCTACCGCCCGGTGAGCCGATGCCTTGTCAAGAAGAAGAAAAACTGCCAGGTGTTAAATACTTGGGTCAGACTCGAGAATCCTTTTCAATAGATGTTTCAAAGTATCTAAATAAACTGTGGCTTTGACAGTCTGTCCCTCTGGAATAAATTCTTTGTCAATAACTCCTTTGCTTTCGTAGAAGGACACCAACATTGTCTTTACTTTCGACTTTTGAAGACAGATTTTTTTGTTTGTAGCTTTTTGGTGATGGCGAGGACTTCTACTGAGCACTTTGGCGTTCAGTTGTGGGATCATTGTAGAAAATCCATGTTTCATCCTCTGCAACACTCAAAATTAAGAAATGTTTGTTTCCATGACAAGTTTTGATGATGTCTTTTGCGTACTCAACATGCTGATGTTTTTGGTCATCAGACAACAAATTAAAAGAAAATTAGTAACCATGGAAATGAGATGTCTGAGAAGGGCTGTAGGAGTGACCATAAGAGATAAGATCAGGAATGAGATCATAAGAGAAAAAGTCGGCACAGAACCAATTTGAAATTACATACAAAGACAGCAAGTGAAATGGTTTGCCCACTTAGAGAGAATGCCTTGTGACACCATACCATACAAAGCATACATGGAAGGGGAAGAAGGACGTAGAGCATGAGGTAGACCAAGAACAATATGGAAGGATAACATCAGAGAAACTCTACAACAGCACAATGTGCCTATGGTCGAGGCGGCCAGAAGAGCTAGAAACAGAACCTTATATCTCCCTCGACACCCACAGCGGTAAAAGAGGAAGTGAAGAAGAAGAAGAAGAAGAAGACAACGAATGTGGTACAAACCGCCCAGCAACATTTTTCTTGCCTAAATCTTCCACTCAAATTTTACGAATGATCTCTCTGTTGACACCAAATTCATCTGCCATCATCCTCACAGTTAAACAACGATCTTCCCATATCTAATCTCTGACATTTGCAATGAGTTCCTCGTTACTAAAAAAAATTTGGCGTCTAGGACTAGTTGCATTAGTAATCATTTCCACACCACTTTTTGAATCATGAATACCACCTGAAAATCTTTGCACAAGACAAAAAAAATTATACCCATAAAATTGTTGCATCAATTTAACTTTCTCTATGCCACTATTTCAGAGTTTTAAACATAATTTAATGTTATCTTTTTGCTCTATGCTGATTACATAACAATGCACCTCTGACTAGGTCAGCAAAATGGCCGATTGTTTGTTGTCTGCTTATCAGGCGGGGATGAAAAGTTGCCAGATCATGGAGGAAGGTTGCCTCTTTGGATTCCATGCTTTGCTTTATAGATGGCATTTTTTATCTTAGCCAAAATAAGATCAGTCTCATTACCTAATTCAGTAATCAGTAATCAAAAAACAGTATTCACAGCACAGTGTCAACGCCCTTTTAAGAGCAGCCTCAGAAGAAGAAGAAGGAAGACTAATGCATTCTTTAAGTGTATTCAGCTTAATGTCTGAAGGTGTACAGAAAGAAGAAACATTGTTTGAAAATTGGGAAGTTTTATGTTTATGCTTGTTATTTGATTCATTTGCATTTTAGTGTAAGTAGTCCTGGTTTTATGGAGGAAGATATCATTGAGCAGCAGACTTCGCGCTACAAGAATGAGTTCCAAGAACTGGGTATTCTGGGCAAAGGAGGCTTTGGATCCGTGTTCAAAGTTAGTATCTTATTGTGGTACAGTAGCTACCATGCCTGTGTACAAATTGTCATATATGACTCTTTGAGCTGTCATGTCTCATGTCTCTTTGTGATATTTGAACTTTCCTTTCTGTATACAAAGTATCATATTATTTAAATAATCATGTTAGTGTACAAAGTATCAAAGGTCATATTCGTTTTTGTGTCTGTAAAAAGTTTTACATGACATTTAAGTTATGATGTCTGTTAAAAAGTATCATATGACATTTGAGCTGTTGCTTATCTGTATGGAGTTTGAGTTGTCGTGTATGTATGTACAAAATATGGCATTTTACTTGTTCTGTCTATCTGCAGAGTATTTACAGTATTTATGTGTTCAAAGTGTATAGCATTTAAATTCTCCGGTCTACAGAAATGATCTTGGGGATTGGTTTTCCTATGTCTGTGTATGGTGTAAAGTATCTTAAGTATCATTTGAGTTGTCAGGTCAGTCCAGAGTTAACAGTTAGCTGTGGTGGCTGTTTACAAAATATACAACATTTGAGCTGTCAGGGCTGTCAAAAACTGGCATTTAAGCTATTGTCCCTGTTGCAGAGTATCATATGACATTGGAGCTGCCAGGACTGTTGAAAGTTGGTATTTAAGCTATTGTTCCTGTAGCAGAGTATCATATGACATTTGGGCTGTCAGGGCTGTCAAAAGTTGGCATTTAAACTAAGGTTTCTGTGTGCAGAGTATCATACAGCATTTGAGCTGTCAGGGCTGTCGAAAGTTGGCATTTAAGCTGTTGTCCCTGTAGCAGAGTATCATATGACATTTGAGCTGCCAGGGCTGTCGAAAGTTGGCATTTGAGCTGTTGTCCCTGTAGCAGAGTATCATATGATGTTTAAGCTGTCAGGGCTGTTGAAAATTGGCATTTAAGCTATTGTCCCTGTAGCAGAGTATCATACAGCATTTGAGCTGTCAGGGCTGTTGAAAATTGGCCTTTAAGCTATTGTCCCTGTAGCAGAGTATCATATGACATTGGAGCTGCTATGACTGTCCAGAGTGGACAGTTACTGTTATTTCTGCACCAGGAGTATTAGTGGAATTTAAACTGTTGTTTTTAATGACTGTCCTTGTGTTGTAAATGTAAAAGGTAGTGTCGGGAAAGGTGAACCTGCGTCATTGCACGCGGTTATAAACCATAAGAGTTCTGCCACCAGTACGGACAGCTGATAAAGAAATTGTCCACCTGTGTCGCCGTCCGCACGTAACTCTAATTTAGTCTAAAGCTACAGCGATGTTCCTCCAGATACCCCAGAGTCTCAACTCTGGTACCCATTTCCCAGAGGCTGGGTGAACCTTGGAAAGCGCCCAGTTTCAAACACCGACCATGGGCTGCAACGAGCTTTAGCTGGATTTGCGCTAATGTAGCCCCTTGTTGTGTTGTGTTTATGTAAAAGACATTTTAAAATGATATCTTACCTGTTTACTGTATTGTTTTATTTTATTATTAATACAAAGGCCAGAAACTACTTAGATGGTTGTGAATATGCAGTAAAGAAAGTCAGATTCAAACACAAAAATACTGATTTGGAACTGAAGGTTAGTATATTGTCATCTGTTTAAATCTAGTGTCATATCTTGTAAGGCTTTTGTCTTTTATGCTAAATGTTGTGTTTGTGTGAATAATACATCTTTATCTTATCAGTTTGCTAGTCGAAATCTACACTGAAATCTAGAATTTGTTATCTCACATTCCCTTTCTTTATGGCAATACTGAAATCTATGCGGCATCCGTAGCTTAGGCGTTGGAGTCTGACTCGTAATCCAACGTACCACAATCGAAACCCACTGCTGGCTGCATGGATTTTTATCATGGTATGGGGCGTCGCAGGTCGACCCAGCCTAAAATGGGTACCAGGATGAGCTGTCTTGGGGAAGTAAAGACTGCTGGTGTAATGCTGACCATAGTACCCATTCAGTGCCGATTGGTCTATAAAAATGTGGGACGCTCTTCCTATATACCCGATGCGCCTAACTGAATTCTAAAATGTGTTAATTATCCCTTCTCTTTATTTGCTTCACCTCTGAAATCTTCAGTTTGCTAATATTTTTTTTCCCTACAACACAAAAATCAACAGTTTGCTAAACTTTCATTCTCTTTGCTTACAATAATTCAAAATCTGCAGTTTACTAATTCTTTTTCACATTGTATATTCGGCACTAAAATAGCTGCTAAGAGAAGTGAAAGCTTTAGCAAACCTGCAGCACACCAACATTGTTGGCTACAATGCCGCATGGATGGAGTACGACAGCCCTTACTTGACTGGCAAAGGCAAGTAGTTTGTTTGTAGTGTTTTCCTTGTTTGTAGTGTTTTCCTTGTTTGTTGTGTTTTCCTTGTGTGTAGTGTTTTCCTTGTTTGTAGTGTTTTCCTTGTGTGTAGTGTTTTCCTTGTTTGTAGTGTTTTACTTGTGTGTAGTGTTTTCCTTGTTTGTAGTGTTTTACTTGTGTGTAGTGTTTTCCTTGTTTGTAGTGTTTTCCTTGTTTGTAGTATTTTCCTAGTTTGTAATGTTTTCCTTGTTTGTAGTATTTTCCTAGTTTGTAATGTTTTCCTTGTTTGTAGTGTTTTCCTTGTTTGTAATGTTTTCCTTGTTTGTAGTGTTTTCCTTGTGTAAAGTGTTTTCCTTGTTTGTAGTGTTTTCCTTGTTTGTAGTGTTTTCCTTGTTTGTAGTGTTTTCCTTGTTTGTAGTGTTTTCCTTGTGTATAGTGTTTTCCTTGTTTGTAGTGTTTTCCTTTTTTGTAATGTTTTCCTTGTTTGTAGTATTTTCCTTGTGTATAGTGTTTTCCCCACTTCCAAGTTTAGTGGTACTTTTTCTTCTTTGTTTACCCTTAAAAGAGCAGCTTGCATGTTGTATTGCAGTTTACAGCTAGGCTGTGATATTTGCACCTTTCAGACCGAGCACAATCAGTTTCAGCAAAAGCCTTATTAGCCGCCTCTCACGACATGCTTGTTAGGGGACAGTGGGTCGTTTCTTGTTTCCTTCCAAAACGAGGTCCTGGAATCCAGACGGTAACAGTGTGATACTGAAGCCCAAAAGGAAAGCAAAGAACAGGAAAACTTTAATATAAAAGGATAGAGGATTGACTTCATTGCACTTGATTATTCCATCTGTTTTGGGCTCTTTCAGTCAACAACAACTAAAAAAAATGTTGCCCCCTGCTGAGAGCATCAAGTAGCTTTAGCTTTAGTCTCCCATACAGAATGATTCACATGTGAAGCGAAACCACTCGACCTTCAGAGCTGGAGGTAAACTGCTCGACCACGTCACCACAGAGACCCACAGATCATGAATTTACGAAGAGGGTAATAAGAAAAGTACTAGCTGCAAAATCCAGTCATTTTAACACTAGCAAATGTCCATATGTGTGTTCGGGGGCCCTGTGTTAGGTGGGTAGGTGGGGGGAAATAGACCCTCTGCCCCCCCCCCCCTCAAAAGCATGTAATAAAAGCTGACCGATTGGGGGTGTTTCTTCGACATTTTAGTATATCTGCCTGAGATCAAGGAACCAGCAGTCTGCATACTAATTGATAAGCCAGATCTGTAAAACAGATTTGCATTATGACACATTGGCAAAGACAGCCCTCCAGTGGACTGCAGATGAAAAAAAAAAAAGAAGACGACAACCTTAGAAAACCAGTAAAAGGACAGTAGAAAAAAAAAAACGAAGGAGCGTAAACTAACATGGGATACTATGGGCAGTAAATAAAGGGATTGGTAGCTGCGGAGATCATTTTTGGATGCCTTATGTGCCAACAGCAGGATGAAGTAGCTTGTAGTGAAAGGTGACTAAGGAAGAAGAAGAAGAAGACTACTCCTTCTTCTTAGTGTTTTCACCGGCTGTAAACTCAGGTGGAAAGTTATGGTTGGTCGTCCACTTCTGGACTTTGGTCCTTTTCCAGAACTTGGGTTTTGCATGCATATCCATTTTACAGATCTGCTGTCTTATTTGTATGCAGTCTGTTGGTTCCTTGGATGTCAGACAGATGCACTCTGACTTAAAAAAAACTTCCCTGATTAGTCGCCTCTAGCTTGTTAGGGAGGCAGTGGGTGTATTCTTGTTTTCCCCAGAATGGAATCCCATAATCCATGCTGGGAAACTATAAGCTGTGGTAACCAGCGTAGAACAGTAACTAGTTACCTATCAGCTGAACCAAAGGTCTTGGGTTCAGATCCACACTGGACATTTTTTTGTAAAATTATTTTGGCAAGAAACATGAAGAAAATCTGGTCTTTTCTACTCAGCTAGTGTAAACATTGACAAGCTAATCTACTAACAGACCTTCACAATATTTATCTGTTGGCAAACCTAACGCTTCTGATAAATGATCATTCCTAATGTCGTTTGAACAAAAATTACAGTTCTGTCATCAGAAAGGTCTCCCATTAAAGGTCAAAGGACAGAAGACAGTGACAGTGACACAGCAGACAGGTGAGTCTATCCCACCCTTCTCTGTGTTTAGTATCAGACAAATAACATTTATTGCACTTGTACACATGGGGCTCACTGGCTCAGAGGTTAGTGAAATAGTTTCACAATGCAATCCTCAACGCTTACCTCAGTGGTCTCCAACCTGTGTGTGTATAAAGTGTGGGGGGTGGGGGGTGGGGGGTGGGGTGGGGGGGGGGGGGTGGGTGGAGGCGTTCAGTAATTTTGAATGTATTTGTGCTGGTAATAATAGGATTTTCAGCTTTACCAGTGAAATAAATGTTGAATTAATAATCAACATCACAGCACTCAGGACATTCCCATAAGTACGCTGTCCCCATCTTCAGCAGCAAGCGAAAAGGTCCAAATTTGATGGTACCAGTAACTGTCTAATTGTATATTCGCCTTGCCTTTCCCTTGAGTGTTGAGCGTTGGCCAGGTCCCCTGGTAACTTCTTGCAGTGCCACACATATAAATAAAACAGCGTTATCGGCTTGATGTGAAGAGTGATCGCTTTTGTGTCTTGGCCAACATCAGACCACCAAAAAAAGCAGATATCATGAATACAAAACAGTGCCAGTCATCACACTGATATTTGGATACTAAATTACCAGCTTTTGGTGATTGCTTCTAATATTATCTGACGCTGTGAATTATGCCAGTTTTTTTTTTTTTAGAGTGCTTAGGATTTTTCTTTTTTGCTTTCTCCTTTTAATTACATTTTTTGGTTATGTTGGGGGGAGGTTGGGGGGGGGGGGGGGTATGCGCAATATGTCCAGGGGGAGGGGGAGCGCCACCTTAAAAAAGTTGGAGACTACTACTGGTTTACCCGGATTCAATTTACCAGGTGTTGGTGATTTAAGAAGAAAATAATTACTGTTATTATGGCTTTCAGACACTGTTCTCTGGAGTTACATTATGGAAGAGACTGTTCCTGTTGTGGATTCTGGGATCCCGGTGTTGGAGAACTGAATAGACCCAGTGTTCTCTAGAGTTACATTATGGAAGAGACTGTTCCTGTTGTGGATTCTGGGATCCCGGTGTGGGGGGAACAGAATAGACCCAGTGTTCTCTGGAGTTACATTATGGAAGAGACTGTTCCTGTTGTGGATTCTGGGATCCCGGTGTGGGAGAACTGAATAGACCCAGTGTTCTCTGGAGTTACATTATGGAAGAGACTGTTCCCTTGTGGATTCTGGGATCGCGGTGTGGGGGAACAGAATTGACCCACTGTTCTCTTGCATTATGGAAGAGACTGTTCCCTTGTGGATTCTGGGATCCCGGTGTGGGGGAACAGAATAGACCCACTGTTCTCTTGCATTATGGAAGAGACTGTTCCCTTGTGGATTCTGGGATCGCGGTGTGGATGAACAGAATAGACCCACTGTTCTCTTGCATTATGGAAGAGACTGTTCCCTTGTGGATTCTGGGATCCCGGTGTGGGAGAACAGAATAGACCCACTGTTCTCTGGAGTTACATTATGGAAGAGACTGTTCCCTTGTGGATTCTGGGATCCCGGTGTGGAGGAACAGAATAGACCCAGTGTTCTCTTGAGTTACATTATGGAAGAGACTGTTCCCTTGTGGATTCTGGGATCCCTGTGTGGGGGAACAACAGACCCACTGTTTCCCTAATAGACATGTCATGTTGTACAAGGTGACTGGTTATCAGTTTTCTTTAAAGCTGAAACACATAGGTCTTAGAGATGAGTATGCCAAACTGTGTATTTAGTTAGTTAGTTAGTTAGTTAGTTGGGTTATCCTCATTGCACTCCGGACATGTCCATAGGTGCTCAGATCCTCCCCTCAGTATGAACCCCAACGTCCGATGGCTAATAGTACCAGTTCTATGTTGATTAACAAGTCTTCTGGCGTAGCTGGTGTGCGTCTCGTTTTTTGCTGTGCCGATCTTAATTCCCAAGTCTGCCATTCTGGCGAGTGATGTGGATTCACTGCCACCAAAGTCCTCTATTCTTCCCATTTCTCTGAGGGCATTGATAATATCAGCATGATCCATAGGCTGACCGTCGGTAGTGATAGCGGATCCAGCCAACCTGTCAGCTCTTTCATTTCCATTGACGCCTGCGTGTCCCGGAACAAAAATAAAGGTGACTCCACGAACAGTGGACTTCTGTAATGATTCAAGCCATTGTCTTCGCACTGAACCTGCCTGAACCCTCCGGATCATACTCATTGAATCACTGAGTATACACACGCGGGTGTATTTTTTGTGTTTCAAGCCAGGCAAGCGCTTGTGTCACTGCCATCACCTCCATCGTCATGCTGCTGGTTGTCATGGAGAAGGCGCCGTTGGCTTCTTTGACTGTTCTGCCCGCTGAGCGTGCTGTAAATGCCCATGCGCTTCTTCTTTGGCGTATAACGGATCCGTCTGTATAGATTATTGCGTCTGCTTCGTCTGAATTTTAACCGATGAGAGCGTTGACCTCTGCATTAACAGCAACAGGATTCTCTTCTCTACATCGCCTGTTGAGTGTGACAATACAGGAAAATGTACAAATAAACGCCTGAGGCACAGGTATCCATTCTGCACCAGGTATGATGTCGGTTAGGCTGCATATTTGCCTAATAACATCTTCTGCCCGACCTAGCCACGATTTCCCCCTCTTCAGTCTGTCGCCCTTTTCACTAAAAAGCGCTTGATGCAGTGGGTGTTTCTTATCAGCGCATATTTTGAGATATGCCCGAGCCCTCCACATCCTGATCCTTTGGTTCATTGTTGGAAAGTCAAGTAGATACCTCATTGCTCCACAGGATGTGTCTCTAGTACATCCCAAAATAATGCGCATGGCTTCATTTTGCACCTTTTCGAGTCGTTCAATCTGGGTAGCACTGACAGTGAGGATGGCCAGAGCGTATTCAATGGGGGAAAGGACCAGACCGTAGAATAGAAGTATTAGTAGTCTTTGCTCAATATTGGAAGCAGCCATAATCCTCATTGCAGATAGACCTTTGCGTGCTTTTGTTATCACATGGTAAACTGTGTATTTATCCACTTAGAAGTAATGCACTTGTGATGTTTCATAATTGTTATGTTTTCCTTGGGCATCAGCTGTGAACCCTTCTGAACAGCTGGGATGACAGCATTTATAAAAGGACTTTATTAAACATTGTCATATATGTGTTAACAGGTATGTTTGGTGAGGTTTGACCATTTCACAGTCATTAGAGATTAGGTTTTTTGATTTGTCTTGTTCGTGCTGTGTGGCCAGGTCTATTTGTCTTCCCTTGCTTTATCTCCTAGTCTTTTCTTGCTGTTTTCCCTTTTCTCATCAAACTTTTCAGTTGTCACCAAGTTTTCAAGCTCATTTCTCATAACGTACTCAGCGAATCTTTACTTTGTGTTTTTCTGATTAGTAGGAGGGTTTTCAGCGGTTTTTAAAATGTTTCTTCCTTTTTCTTTGCCTTCACCGCTTTAAATTCAAGCGCAAAGTTCCGGTTTTTTATTCACTTTAGGACTTTAATCTTGTTCTTGAACCTGAGTTTAGCGTGCACTACCATTTCACAGAACCAACTGTTAGTTCCCTGCCTCTCAGGCAGATGCACTCAGACTTCAAAGGGAACCCTAATTTTTCTACTCTTGTGACAATCTTCTTAAAGAAGCAGGGCTGGGATTTTTTCACATGGACTTGGACTTCTAGTAATTCGCCCTGGTCTCTGGGTAGTGAGATCAGACACCTGTGTGCATTGTTGCGTACGTAAAAAATCCCTTGACAGTTGGAAATCCAAAAGAGAAGCCTAACGGCCTGCCCAGGCAAAATTTGGAGTTAAAAATCTACCCAAAAAGTATTTCAGGATCCTCGCTGGTGCTACAGAGCCTGTGCACTGTGCTGAGCTTCTTCAGACCCAGACTTCAGTTAGAAGAACGGAGTACTTTTTGGCTACTACCGTGTGTCATAGTGTTGATTTGTTGTTAAAACTTCAAACTTTTCCCGATGCAGAGAAATGATACTTACTATATATAGCACATTATGCATATTTTAAAAACATGTACTAGTTTTTTTACTATTATCTTAACTTTAATTACTTTTGCAGTGTGCAGTTTGACAATCAAGACAGCATGAGTGTAGAATTTTGTCTTTCTGATGATCACATCAAGTCTGAAGTGGGAAGAACATTTGCTATATCAGTGCCAGGTGGCTTGGCCATGAATGCAAAACTCTTTAGTACAGTTCATCAACAAGACTTTGCACCTTTAGCTGGAACGAAAAATGAAAATCAGAACAGATCGTCATCAGAAGACAGTGTGGTTTTTGTTGACTCTGTGCAGGAGCATGAAGTTTTCCAGAAGTTATCTAAACTTGACTTAAAGAACGTAAGAGTTAAAAAAGGAACAAGCAGGTCACCCATGAAAACAAAGAATAAGCATGAGGCAAATTACTTTCCAAAAGATGTTAAGAACCACAAGAATAGGGAGACTCTATGTTGTTATGATAAAGGGTGTAATGTATCCACAGAAACAGCGAAAGGTGCTTCTACAAAGATGTTTCCGAGAGGCTCTTTACGAAATGCACACAATGTAGATGAAAGTTTGCTTGATAATTCATCTGCCATTCTACATTTTCACAGTGTAGATGAAAGTTTATTAGAAAACTTATCCACTAATCCACAGTTTCATAATGTAGATGACAGTTTGCGTGGAGACTTATCCACTGATCCAAAGTTTCACAATCTAAGTGACTGTTTCTTAGATAACTCAACCACTGATCCACAGTTTCATAATGAAGATAAGAGTTTGCCTGGCAGTTCATCCACTAATCCAAAGTTTCATAAAGTTTTAGTTGAACATAGACACAGTAATCATAATACAACTGGGTTGTTGACCAGCAGTGATGTTTGTAGAGTGCATAGACAGTCTGATTCCGTTGGGTGTGTGGCGGACCAGGAGATTGCATGTACATCTGTTGATAACCAAAAGAGTATTAGAAACACAGCACAAGTTCGTTATCATTGGTGTCCAGATTTTGCTAAATTCTCTGACCAGAAGTGTCAGTGTTCTGGTGTTCAGTTGCCACCAGACTTTATAAATATATGCCAACAGGCAGTATCATCAGTTGTCATAGATCTCAAAGAAGATTGTCATCTTCATCAGCATCAAGAGTACACATCAGTTGCCAAATTGGATTTAAATTCATATATGCCAGCTGATTGCCAGCATTGTGTGTTAAGTACTGCTTCCCAAACACAAAGCCTTCAGCTAAACTCCACTCTGTCCGAGCTGTTGATTTCAGAAACAGGAAAGTCACATGATAGTGAGCAGGCTTTATCAACACCATTTCAAGCAGCGGGTTCTTCAGTCACCCTCAAGGCATCAGTCTCACATTCGCAATGCAAAAATAAAGTAGCTAAAGTAAATCCAGACCAAACAGCTTTCACAAAGAAGCAACTGAGACACAGCCCTATATTGTTGCATGCCTCATCTCAAAGCCAACAAATGAATACTGTACCTGAAACTACACATGGCCCCAACATTTTCATGTCTCATACAAGCAGCATCGTAGAGCCTGTATCAGAAATTTCCAATACACCCACCAGAGCAGAAAAATCTGGTAACGGACTAGCAGGTTTAAGACGAGGTCCCATGATGAGAGTCAGCTTCCGGAGTGACAGTGAAGAAGTTGTAGAATCCCACAGTAATTATGTCTTTCATGTATGTTCTAATTATCTGTTCTTGTTTGGTTACATTTTATTATTATTACTTGTGTTGGTGAGCCGCAGTATTATAGTAATTAGACACATGCCTCCAAGCCTGAGTGTCTAAGGTTCAGGTCGACATTGTGGCAGGACCTTTTCTCCTAGATTGATGCAGCCTGAAATTGATACTAGAAAATATACTGGGAATTAAAGATGTTTGGCGGGATGTTGACCTCAAGTTTTGTTTAATAAGTACTTTTACGTGTGTTGTTAAATTTTTTTTTTTAAATTCTTTTTTTGTTGCAGTATTTTTTTCTTGTTTTGTTGCATTAATTAATTCATTCCTAATTTGTTATATTTATTTATTCTCGTCTTTATTGAATTTATTTAGTCATTCTTGTTTTATTGCATTTAGTTATTTATTCTTGTTTTGTTGCAGTATATATTTATACTAATGTTTTTTGCATTTATGTATTCATTCATGTTTTCATAGCATTTATTAATTTATTTGTTCTTGTTTTGTTAGATTTATTTGTTATTTGTGTTTTGTTCACTTATATATTTATTCTTGTTTTGTTACAGTTATTTATTTATTTTTTGTTTTGTTGCAATTATTTGTTTGCTCTTGTTTTGTTGCAGTTATTTGTCATTTATTTATTTATTCTTGCTTTATTGTAGTTTTTTTTTTATTTTATCTTTTGTTGCAGTTAATTATTTATATATTTATTCTTGTTTTTGTTTGCATTTATGTATTTATTTATTCTTGTTTAGTTGCAGTTATTTATTTGTTTATTCTTGGTTGGTTGCAGTTATTTATTCTTGTCTTCTTGCATTTGTGTGTGTGTGTGTCTTGTTGCATTTGTTTATTTATTCTTGTTTTGTTGCAGTATTTATGTATCCTTCTTAGCCTTCACAGCTGTGGCAGAAAGTTCTGGTTGTTCATTCACTTCTGGACTTTATTCTTGTTCCAGAACATCCATTTTACAGATCTAGATGTTTTATTTGCTGATTAATGTTTTCTTGCTTTTCACTCAGATGCACTCCGACTTTGATATAAATCCCCTAATTATTCACTTGTTATGACGAGCTTCTTAGGGAAGAACGTAGGTCTATTCTTCCCCCAAATGGGGCCCTGGAACCCGCACAGGGAGGATTCTGTTGTAAATATCTACAGCAAAGGGAGTGGAAACACTACCTATATAATTTCAGCCTACGGTATGTGCTGTGCTTAATCATGACCTGGTTACACCCTAATGTGTGAAGCTCTAGTATTGGTCTTTAACTCCGGGCTGATATATCTTCTTCTTCGGGTTCATCGGGTGTAAACTGAGGCAGAAAGCCCCTGTTGTTCATCCACCTCTGGACTTTAGTCTTGTTCTTCTTCTTCTTCTTTGTTCACCGGCTGTAAGCTCCGGCAAAAAGTCCTGGTTGTTTGTCCATTTGGACTTTGGCTTTGTTCCAGGGCCTGAGTTTTGCGTGTACATCCGTTTTACTGACTTATTTGTATGTAGTTGGTTGTTCCTTGCCGCTCTGGCAGATGCACTCTGACTTCAAAGGAGTTCCCAGCTAGTCGACTCCTACGACATGCTTGCTGGGAAGGCAGTGGATCTTTTCTTGTTTTCCCCACAATGCAGCCCCAGAACCCACACAGGGAAGCCTTGTTCCAGAACTTGAGTTCTGGTAGTGTATTTGTAAGCAGACTGCTGGTGCCTAGCCTCTCAGGCTGATGCACTCTGACTTCGAAGGAGACAGCCCTAATTAGTTGACTTGTACACTATCCGTGTTAGAGTGGCCGTATGTCTGTTCTTTTTTCTCCCTACATTAGTGCCCTGGAACCCACACAAGGTTGCTGATTTGTGAACTTGGAGGTAAGAAAACTCTGCAACACAGTCCCTGTAGAAATGGTATTTTGGTCCTGGCCGTGGACAGAAATCTCATCAGCCTTGCAACTATAAATGAAAGCTCAGTAGCAACCCTTCGATGTAAACTATAGTACACTTGTGCAGAACACAACAATGCCATTCTTTTAGAGATCAATGATGGAACAGATGTATAGCAAACAGTGATTGCTGGAAAAAGAGGAAGACACAATGGCTCAGTCTACCCACATTCTAAAGCTTCGTACTTAATTCTCTCAACTTGAGAAAGCCATTTTTTAAGGCTTTTACGAGTTTTTGTTGGCATGACTTTGGACAGTGACCTGTATGACAGCATTGGTACTGGCTGCAACTACATTGACCATGTGGATATTATATTTAGCTCCCCCCCCCCCTTCCAACTAAAAAAAATTGGGGTGGGAAAAAAAGATTTTCTAAAATTGTAACATCTTATAATTTCATTACTGCGTCTTATTGCTATCTGTGGCAAAGCAATCAAAACCTAAGTAGACACATGGAAGCAAATTCTTTGCTCTGTTTGTACTTAGTGATTACATTTCTTCACTTAGAAGTAAACCTTTTGTAGATTTAAACATTCAGTGACTGGAAAAATTAATTAACTGTTTAGTGATGTAAGGTTATCAAAGAAGCAGATAACTTTGTGCCTGCTCCTATCTGACCAAGACTCAAAATTTCTTCTACTTCTTTTCTTCTTCTAGTTTCTTAGCGTAGAGTTTCTGAAATTATAAGGACGTGGGTAGTGAGCATACTTTGGATCTTTTCTCCAGGCTATGCCGGTGTAGTGGGTAATGAACAGGAAGCAGATTGGCTAGATCTGCACCACTGGGTGGTGAATTGATACATGACAAGGCAAAAGTGGTCAAGGCTCTGTGGGAACAAGCAACAGAATCAGTAGAGAAACAATATTATTATGGCCTGGAATGAGGTCCTGGGTGTAACCAGAGAGTCTGGCTGGCTCACTACACTCAGAGGAAAGGCAAGACGGACATATAACCAGATTGAGACTGGTACCATTAGTATTAGAATTCTGCGCTTGCTGCTGAAGATGAGGACGGAGCACACATGGGAATGCACCGAGTGCTGTGATGTCAGTTTTTGACTCAACTCAACTCAAGGACGCTTTAAAAAAAAAATGAAAGCGGAAAAAGTTTTTTGTTTTTTTTTAAAGATTTTGTATGAGAAGAAAGGATTTTAAAGTCTTAGTTAACATGTTTGATAACTCTGGTGTCTGCAGAACTCAGTAACATTGTACATACAGATGGAACTTTGCACTTTTACATTACAAGAATGGATGGCAGAACGCAACTCAGAATTTCACTTAAAAGGATGTGGTAAGTAAATGGATGTTGGCATCTGTGGCTTAAGCGTTGCGAATGTGCTTCTTAATGCTGGGGTGCTGGGTTCGATCTTAGCTGCAAGCCTTGCTTTGGTTTTGACACTGGTATCGAGAGGCCTCAAGCATGAAACCATGAAGTCCATCACAGCCGACTGCCAAAGGTGGAGAGAGCTGATCAGACAGTCAACTGAAACTGGTGACCCTATGACACGTAGTGTTACGGGATAATGATGATGATGATGATCGAGAGCCGACGGTCCAGAAAGCAGTGGCAAACTGCTGGACGTAAATTTGGCTAGTAAAGCCACAACAGCCCCCCCCCCCCCCCCCCCCCAAATGATGGGGTTGGTCCTGCATTGTCCTGTAAAGGATATGCAACTAACTTTAAGTAAATTGATAATTTAAAAACACAACAAATATATCAGCATCCAAATTGAAGCCTGAAAGATAGACACACAGGGACTTAACTCTTTTGCCCCGGGAACATAAAATAGGTCATGACCCTGTTAGAATTCAAGAATGTATTATATATGAAAACAACAGTAATTACACAGCTCACAAAATTAGTTGAAAATGTATTTCTCTACATTTTAAAATTATTATTTTTTATTATTGGCCAAGAGAATCACGCCAAGATTTGCAGATCACTGATTGAATTACAACAGACAGTGAAGTTCATACTAGAGACAACATTGCAGATATAGATAATCTATTTCAAGTTAACAAAAGAAGAAGAAGATTTTAAAATTATTTTTTGAAATATAAAAAAATATGTAAAAGCGGTAATCAATAAAACGCCAAAGGGTGAAGAATTAACTCTTTCAGAACGGCATTTTATTTTCTATGGTTTGGACAGACTTAATCTTTAGCTGATTTTTTTTTTTACTGCAAGGTAATAAAGCTGAAACCTTCCCAGAAGTAGTGGCTATATAGTGACTTACAATAGGGTCAAGGCCTCTTTTCCAGGCGTTCAGGTGTATTGGGTACATAGGGTTAGACCTATATTTTATAGACCTATCAACACTTGATGGGTGATGTGGAGAGGAGAAAAAGGATCTTAAAAGCTATACAAATCCTTTCTTCATATATGGAAGCAAATCACGGACAGTTGGTAGATTAGCTAAAAATTATTTGGAAGCTGCAGAGATGTGGTTTTATAAACGAATGATGAGAATACCCTGGACAGATAAAAAGAAGTAATAAGGATGTCTTGAAAGAAACTGGTTTGTGAATATTTTAACAGCAGGAAAAATGAAGGGGAAGAAAGACAGGGAGACAAAGAGAAGATATCAGACTTTGTGACACAGAAGTACATTTAAGTTATACATTGTTGGCAGTACATATGACAGACTCTGCATCTGTGGCTTTGGTGTTGTGAATGCTGTTTGTAATTCCGAGATACCCAGTTTGATTCCAACTATGGGCAGTTAGGCAGCAGACTGACTTATGCTGATTTTGACAGGGGTACCAAGAGCCAACCATTCAGAAAGCAATGGCAAACTGCTAAATGTAAAATTAGCTAGTAAAACAAAAACAAGCAACAAATGCTGGGGTTGGTTTTGCAACATCCTGCAAAAGATACACAACTAACTAATGAACATGAAACAGAAGACTATGAGCAAACGCAATTACCAGCACCATATGGCATGCACTGTAAGGGGAAGCAATAGATTAGGGAAGATAAGGGGACATAAGAACAAACATTTTAATCTGTTTTTTTTGTTGTTGTTTGTGTGCAGATGATGTGGCAATGCGGACAGACAGCATCAGGGTCTTTCATCAGATCTTGCACGGTGTTGATTTTATACATGCCAATGGACTTATTCATAGGGATCTTAAGGTATACAATCTTTGCAAAGTTCTTGCCTTCAGATACAATGGTCTGGGTTCAGTCATCAATCTTCAGATGTGGCGGGGGTTTTTTTTTCTGATAAGTTTGGCTCAGCAGTTGTCATAGCCTCATAAAACTGGGTTCTTGATAATTTTCAGAATGTTCTGGAATTGTCGGGGGAAGGAAAGTTGCCAAAGAAGGGGATTGGATACCCCCACTTCATATGTTGTGGTCTAGTTATATGAAGGTCTAACACTTCATATGTCATGGTCTAGAACAGCGGTTCTCAGCCTATGGGTCATGACCCTCTTGTGGGTCAAAGGACCCTTTCATAGGGGTCACAAAAGACCATCGGGAAGCACATATTCATTGATGTTATGAAGTAGCAAGGAAAATAATGTTATGGTTGGGGGTCGCCACAACATGAGGAACTGTATTAAAGGGTCACAGCTTTAGGAAGGTTGAGAACCACTGGTCTAGAATATGTGAAGCCTGATACTTCATATATCATGGTTTACAATGTGTGAAGACCTAACATTTCATACAGTCTAACAATTCAGCAGTGAATAAAAATGTGTTTTTATTTTGGTCAAAACAAAGATGTCATCCATGAAGCACAGCAAGTCATCCAAACAGGCACTATTCATCTATTATCTGGCAAAAACTTAATGCCAACTAGTCAGCAGTCAATTAAAGCAACTATATTTTGAACAGGGAATGCAGAACAAAAAGAACACTGACCAGAACCTCTTGATCTCTCCATATTTGGCATAAGTCTCTTGTAAAAGACGGAGGCTATGGAACCTTATCCCTTTTTGAAGCATAGTCCCTCACAGGCTATCTTGTCCTTTGCCAGTCTCTCTCTCTCAATCTCTCTTCCCCCTCCATATCCTCCTCATATTATTAACCTCTGTTTTTACTTCCCTTCTATGTGTGTGACAGTCTCCTTCTATTTCTTTCACTCTGTTGCAGTGAAAACAATTGCTAATTATGCTTTTTGTTGTTTGAGGTTTTTTTTAAATGTGTCCCCCATACCAGCAATTTCTCCTTACTTCTTGATTCAGTGTAGTGTGTCCAGTTTCCTTTTTAAGCTTCATATTTGGTCAGTTGCATAGTATTTTATTCTGAAATTCTGTGCAGATTGCGGGATATGAAGAAAACGGTCACCCATGCCAGTTGGCAGGGCACTTACTTGTTGATGAAGATTATGTGCAGACACTAAATAATTTATCTTCTGTCTGTTTTCATATTGCATCTGATTTTATATTTTGGACATTCACACATACAAGTGTAAAGAGAGACAGACAGACAGATACCACACACAGAGACAAGACAGACAGACACACAGATCACACACACACATACACACACTTTAATTGATATCTGAAGTGCAGTGTTGCCACTTTGGATGTTTTACATCCAGATTTAAATGTTTTCCCTTGCATTTAGATGGCATTTTTGATGTTTAGATATTTTTATTTGGAGTGAATTTATCAAATCTAACATAAAAAACGGGATGAAATTTGACCTCTTAAATGCTATCTTGACAATAAAATTCGGCCTGATAAGAGTAAGAAAAGGGCGTTCCACTTATCAGCTCACTGATTAGGTAATTTGAAAAGTGGCAACACTGCTGAAGTGTTCTATGTTTGCAGCCAAGGAACATCTTCCTCTCAGGGAGTGACCTGCATGTGAAGATTGGGGATTTTGGATTAGCTACAGGTGATGCTCTGAAACCTGGCAGAGAAGATTTGGTCTTGACACCATTATCTTCAGGTGGGCTGGGTTTCTTTCTTTCATATGTATCTTCATTGCAGTAAAGTTGTTTATATTTGTTACTTGCCCGGCTCTCTAGCGTAGTTGGTTAAACCTGACTTCGGGGCGACAGGGTAATGAACTCCTTGTGGTCCGGGTTCATGCTCGGGGGGTAGGCATAAAAGCCACTTTTCTCCCAGATTTAGGGTATTTATCGATAATGGAATCAAGGCTGAGGGGTTGCGATATCCATAGTACTGAGCCAAAGGGTTAACAACTCATGGTTTCTTGATATTTAAAAAAAAATATTTGTTAATTGTAATCTGTTTCATTGACTGTACATCTATCCATCAACATATATGTCAACTTATTTAACAACATATTTTCTAACCTATCCCCCACCTTCATGTATCCAGGTAATCGCTGTACCAACTTCATGGCCAATGGGAAAACCACACAGAATACCCATCGCTGTCTTTTGTGAGAAAAAAAATTGACACAGACTGCAGCCTCAGAAAAGCTTACAGCATAATTAGTTTCTGTAATTGAAGATGGAAAGGAGGGTTCTGCAGGTTCTGCAGCACACTTACTGTGGAGATGGTATTCTGAAATCAGGCTGGGCGAAAATTCTCTACACTAATTTCACCCCAAATAAATGCAAGCCTTTTCAGTTGACATCTCCCCATGTGGATTCTGGGGCCCTATTGTGGGGGAAAAACAAAAATAGACCCACTGTCTGCCCAAAAGCATGTCGTAAGAGTTGACTAATTGGGAGCTTCCTTCAAAGTTGGAGTACATCTGCCTGAGGGGCAGGGAACCAACAGTCTGCATGTAAATGAGTCAGAGCTGTGAAACAGATGTACATGCAACACTCAGGTTCTGGAACAGGACTGGAGTCCATAAGTGGATGAACAGCCAGAACTTTCTGCTGGAGTTTGCAGCTGGTGAACACAAAGAAGAAGAAGAGATGACGTCAGTGTCAGTGCATTGAAAGTAAAACCTAATTAGCTGATTCAAAACCAATTAAGCGTCCAACCAATAATCTAATAACCAGATTAAAAAACATTTAAGCATCCAACAATTAATCTATCAAACCATTCATTCAGCCAATAAGCCACCCAGCAACCATCCATCCATCCAGTCAACTAGCCAAGCATCCAGCCATCCATCCAAGAACCCTCCTTACAAATAGCCAGCCATCCATGCATCCGGCCAACCATCCATCCACTTACCAGCCACCTGTCAATCTAAAAGACCATTTGTTATAAGGTTAAAAGCAACTGAATGAAGAAGCATATTGGAAGTGATTATATAGTGGTAGCAGCAGTGACAGTAGTTTTAGTAGCAGTGACAGCGGTAGTAACAGCAGTGACAGTGACAGTAGCAACAGTTGTAGCAGCATTGACAGT